GTGCGGCCGGGTGGTCGACTCTGAGGTGTTTAGAGAAAAGAGGCAGTGTTTCTTTTTCAGTTGAACCGTGCTGCAAAGAAAAGGGCAACCCTCTCAGCAGAAACCGCACTACAGATGCCATTCATTTAAGAGCTGCTCGAGTGTGTCATCTCATTCCAATAAAAAAGCCCAAAGGTTACTGTCCCAGCCCCCTCCTGTCCCTCTAACACACTCCCCATCTATTTTTTTTTTCACAACCACCCTCCGTCCATTAAGTTAATGGACCCATCGTGATGTAAAACACATTTCCAGTTCTCCAGTGTTGACAGATATTCTGGGAGACGATTGAAGTGTTTGATTGTGCATCTAAAGTGTACAACTCAATACTTTCGCACTCACAGACCCCTTTCAGCGCTCCACTTCTCCTAAAGTAAAGTTCTTAACAAGATAAGCCAGTAAAGAATAATGGAGGAAATCACAGCAGGCTTAGATGGGGATTCCCTCCTTAAAAAGAAAAAAGCCTTTTTGAACACGACTTCTTAATCAATTCGTTCCACCACTGATACAGTATCTATAAAGGAAAAACCTTTCAGGATTGTGTCATAATTATTTATATACTGTAATATATATATATATATATATATATACACACATACTCGCTTAAAAGGCAGATTCCCTATTAACAACACTGCAGCATCAGAGACAGAAGAAATCAGTGGTTCATGTGGGAATGAATTCAGATGAGAGTAAAAGCTTCATTAGACTCGGGCATAATTGATAATTACTCTGTGTATGCGTAAATACATCTCGCGGGCCAGCGTGGCTATAATTTATCTGCCTTCCCATAATGCCTCCCAGAGGAACTATTCAAGTTTTTGAAGAAAAAAGACACAAAAGTGATTTCAAAGAGATCATGAAACCAAAAATTAACCATGTCTAATTACTTAACCCTAAAATGCATGCGTCAAGCTGACCTGATTTGTTTTTAGTAATATTTTTTCAATTAAATAATTTTTTTATTTGATATTTCACATATTATTCACAAATCTTGTAGTCCTCAGTGATGTCATTTGTTGGTAAAAGGTTTAGAATTGTTTTTATTTTCTAACACTTTTTTTTCATATTTTTTGACAGTTTAAATTATTTTTATTTATTTTACAAATGTTATTTGTATAAAGGTTAGTGTATTTACTATTTATTTATTTATTTTTTCTGTTTAAAAAAAAAAAAAAAATCTGTTAAAATGTTTTAATGTTGTGTGTACCCCAGTGTTCTTCAAAATATCGTGTTCAGTTGAAAAAAAGTCAGTCGTGCTGTTTTGGAATGGCGTTGAGGGTTTGTAAATGATGGTAAAAATGTTCATCTTTGGGTGAACTATCCCTTTAAGACATTCCATATTTGAATGGCTCTGAACACCATTGGCTTGTGAACCTGAGAGATGAATACACATTGATCCTTCATCACCATTATCTTCTCAATGAGTGCTGCAGACGTATTGAATAGATATTGAAGACTATCTTGGTTTTATTGAAAATCATATTTCAGGTGTATAATAGTTTATGGCTTTTATCCTCAGGAGCTGTATGTCATATTGTTTGTGAGATGTGGTGCCACGAAGGCAGTAATGGAAGCATAATTGGCTATTGAAAACCAAGAAATAATGAGATGAGAAATAACAATGGGAAATTAACCCCTGCATGCATCTTGCCTATCAACAGCTCAAGAAAAATGGTCTTTGGATACTGAAAGGATTTGGGTAGAGGAGACAAGCTAGGTTTGAAGTTATTAAATATGACCTAGATTCTAGAATATGAAGACGAGTGTTACTTTGACTTTACAGTTGAAACATGCTATGCAACTGCAATGATCAGAGAAGCCTGTGATATGTTCTGTGATGAAATTGAACAAAAAGCTTTGTTTTAACTTGTTCCTCTTGACTGAATCCTCCATTTGATATGTACCGTGGGTCTTTCTCTCGCTGAGGCAATCATCAGCTCGCTGAACCGAACGGACGCACCAGTTCTCTTTCCGTCCTGGCCGGGAGACACGGACGTCTTCGGATGACAGTGCTGTGTTTGATGCTTGTCCTGACCGCACTGACGTGTTGATAGGCTTTCTAAAGATAGAAAGCACCCTCATGATAAATGCTCCCAATCGACTGAACTCTGCAGCTGACGGACCTTAATGCATTTTCCTGCATTTTACTGTTCTACTGCTGCATTGCAGAGGCTAAAAGACGAGGGCTGCGAGGTGAATAAGTCCAACGAACAAACAAGCACTCTGTGATGCGCGAGAGAACAAATGGGTTTCAGATAATCAACTGAAGCTGAAATCAACATCAGTTTCTGCCAGAAACCAGCAGCTTGATTAAAGGAGTGGTGATGATGACTATTGATTAATTAAACAACAAGTGAATTAAACAAGTGCATTAAAGGAATAATTCACCCACGCAGCCAAGATGTAGATGAGTTTCTTCATTAAAACCGATTTGGAGAAATGAAGCATTACATCACTTGCTCACCAATGGATCCTCTGCAGTGAATGGGTGCCGTCAGAATGAGAGTCCAAACAGCTGATAAAGTCATCCAAGGAGAAACATCCATCGTTAACTCATTTTTTTAAACGGTTGATTCTGACCAAAATATGAGTCCATAATCCGTAATAAAAGTCAATCCTCTATTGTCCTCTCACATCACTGACGTATCTGTTTAGACAGTGCTTCTTCTTAGCATATTTCTCTCCTGATTCAGATTTTTCACTGGAGAAAGCAGTATTATGGATAGAGGACTCCATATTTTGGCCAGAAGCAATGATTTGAAGTTAAAAACATCTTAATGATGCATTAGTTTATTACAAACACAGCTTTTCACTTCAGAAGTTGTTAACTGATGACTGGAGTCGTGTGGATTACTGTGGATTATTGTGATATTTTTATCGGCTGTTTGAACTCTCATTCTGACGGCACCCATTCACTGCAGAGGATCCATTGGTGAGCAAGTGATGCAATGCCAAATTTCTCCAAATCTGTTCCAATAAAGAAACAAACTCCTTTAGATGGATGGCCTATGGGTGTGTACAATTTCAGCAAATTTAGATTTAGAACTAGTCCTTTAATGAACTTTTCTTTTTTTAGACATTCCACATATCAGGAAATGCCATTAAAGAGACAGTTCACCCAAAAATGAAAAATATTGACTCTCATGTCATTCTAAAATCTATTCATCCTGTCATTTATTTCAATGAAACACAAATCATTGAGAGAAAAAAAGATTTTCAGTACAAAGATGGGTCATATTGAACATGCACAAGCTCAAGCTCCACAAGGGAAAAAACACATCAAAAATAATAATTATAAAAAAAAACATACAAACAATCCATACACCAAAAAAAAAAAAAAAAGTGTGAACTTTGGGGGAAGCAAATAATTATGTTTACATTTATTTCAACTGCGTTTAAGTGAATCAATCATGCATTTCTGTTTCTGCTTACTATGTCTGCACAAGGAATTCCTCTCAGAAACTTGCAAAAAATGTAATGAGACTATTCAGATAAAATTCATGTGAGTGGCTGACCTGTGATCTGAGAGGCAGTCTATTAACTGGCTTACTAAACACGGTAATGATGGACAGCTGGCGAGGGTCAGGGTGCTGCCTCCAAATTTAGATGGAGCAAATAGAAAACAATATAAAAATAACATGCTCATCAGTGTAATATTTTTTTTTTCTGTTCCAAAAACTGGACAATTTAAAAATATTTTCAATAATATATTTTTATTGAATTTGATTAAACAAAATTCAATAAAAATAAATTATAAAAGGATCTTCTGATTAAAAGTATGCAAATATAAAGGCAGCTAAATGTGCAAAATGCCCCCTGGTGGACTATAGTGATAAGGGGCAATAATATGGCAAAATACTTTATACTTTTATACTATATATAAATACTATTTAAAAAAATTAAGGCAACGTTAAATATATATATATATATATATAATGTATGTATATATATATATATATATATGTATGTATATATATATATATATATATGAAATTACCTCAGATTTGATGGTTTGTCATTTCAGGTGAAGACCTCATTAATCAAGATTGCCTTTGGAGTGCATAGTGTCAAACAGTGTTTAGACGAGTGCTGTAATAGTGTTAATTGCTTTTTAGTGTTTAGGTAAAGAAATAAATCGAATAAAATCAGGGGCATATTGAACCTCGGGGTTGTTGTACCTACTTACTAGGAAGTAAGTATTTGATCAGACATTCAGATGTTCAAAGCTAAGATATCAAAACTCGGATATCAACTTTTGTTTTGTAAGTGGATAGGAATATATTTAACTGTTGTTAACCATAGTGACTTCACGGGAGTTGTAAAAGCAAGGACCTGTCTGTGTGTGGTGAAGTAGACTGTCATTGAGGTGCTGGGGAGAGACGGGAGCTAATTGAGGTCAAAAACGTTCTGCTGGCGACACAGATGGCAGCCGTCTTGGGCCTGTGAGACTCAAACATCATAGCGATTATGGCCTTGAAATATACTTCTCTAAAAGATTCTACCTCAAGGACTAGCATTTTTCAAATGTCGTTCTGAATTAAATTTTATTTATAAATATTTTATTTAGTAGCTTTCCCAACAAAACACAGAGCATCCATCAGATTGGTCAAAAAAGGGGCTCCACCTTGCAAATATATATATAATATTTTCTAATATTTTCTATCGCTTAACCTTGAACCTAACCCTCACCCAAATGTTTCTGAATTTTTTGATCTTCATTAAGATATTATTTAGCATGTTTATTAAGCTTTTTTCCTTATGGTGACTGGTTTCCACAATGTAGGTGATTTCAAGTTTAACTATCCTTCTGGGGACATAAAGTCTCTACAATGTTGGGAACTTTTGTTGGATTTAATTAAGTTCTGGGGACAGTAGTAAACACACACAGGTGCACATCTCTCTTTTTGAAAAAGTAGTTTCTTAGATCCTCACCAATGAATGTGTTTTTGTCATTTAACTTTCAGGTGTGCATACATTTGAATCCCAAAATAAATGTGACTTTTACAAGTGGTCTCTGCGTGACAGTGAAGGTTCAGTCACAGGCTCATAGACGTCACTGAACAGATCACAGCATATTCTCTCCTGCTGTGCGGCTCTCACTGTGCATGACTGCCAAGTGCCGTGGAGTTTGAACTCTAACGTGAGTTTCCTTTTATTTCATACTCAAATAAACATTTGCAATTTTGGAGTGGACCATCCTTGGGCCATTCAAAATATAGATGTAGTTAGAGTCCTTAATCGGAACAGATTTGGAGAAATTTAGCATTATATTACTCCAATGAAAACTCAGCAGTGAATGGGTGCCGTCAGAATGAGAGTCCAAACATCTGATAAAAACATCACAATAATCCACACAACTCCAGTCCATCAGTTAATGTCTTGTTTAAAGCAAAAAGCTGTGTGTTTGTAAGAAACAAATTCACCATTAAGGCATTTTACATTTCTGGCCAAAATATCAGTCCATAATCCATAATAACACTTCCTCCAGTGAAAAAGCTATCCCGTTTCGTCTCGCATCAAAATCCATCGACATATTTGTTTAGAACGGTTTCTGACATTGCTTATACTTGATCGTATTTCTCCACTGATTCAGACGAGACAACATTTTCACTGGATTAAGCAAGATTATGGATAGAAGACAATGGTTTTGAAGTTAAAAACATCTTAATGATGGATTTGTGTATTACAAACACCCAGCTTTTTGCTTCTCAAGACATTACCTGATGGACTGGACACTGGAGTCGTGTGGATTACTTGTGGACTATTGTGATGTATTTATGAGCTGTTTGAAATCTCATTCTGACGGTACCCATTCACTGCAGAGGATCCATTGGTGAGCAAGTGATGTAATGCTAAATTACTTCAAATCTGTTCCGATGAAGAAACAGCCATCTACTTCTTGGATGGCCAGAAATTTTCAGCAAATTTAGATTTTTGGGTGAACTATTCCTTTATTATTATCTTGTTACTATCCTTTCTCTCCAGTGGGCCAGCAGGAGCCGAAAGATGCAGACAGATCCAAAGGTTCCAGTCCCTCTCTGTGACGCACATGATGGGAGTCAAATCAATGAGATGAGGCCGAATCAATGAGATGTCAGTATTGTTTTATCATTGCCTGTTGCAGCTTGATGATGATCTCACAGCTGCAGGTAGAGGACATCTGGCTATTTTCCTATCACTCATTACTCTCAGAATATTTGAATATGTTTTAGCCAAAGTAATGAGTGTTTGCTGTTCCTTTCTGGCTTTTTAAGTATAAATGCAATAGGTTTTAAACAACCTTTGTTAACTATCATTCACATGCCTCTCACACTCTTTGGCTTCCTCACTGCTACAAGTGAGATTGATGGGGTGTACAAACTGGCAAACGCTTAATGGGATTTCTTTATCACTGCAGTGATTCACAAAAAAAGGCAGTTTGAGGTTTGAACTTGGCTGATAGAGAGAGCTGCTCTATTGCTCCGTGCACCTGGTCAAGGGGAGATATTTCTGATAAACTGCTGAATGAAAGGTGGTGCGTTGGCTTTGTTCAATGTCCAAGAGAAAAGTGAATTTCCAAGAGTTACTCTCAACAGACATGCTGCAATTATGGGGTTTGATACCACATCTGCTTTTGGGTAATTCTCAGGAATTACCAAAAAGCCATTTGTGCTTTGTGTCCCCATGACTTGCAATTAAATAATTAAGAGGACACTGAACTTGGGCAATAGATTGTAATGCAGAAATTAATCCTTTTTTTATTTGTTTTTGCATTTTAATTTCAGATTTTTCTAACATTACCTTTTTGACCACATGGTTGAAACAGAAGTCCATTATTGGGTATTTTTCACTGATCTTCAACCTTAAAACGTTTAGAATGTTTGGCAAAAAACTTTAAAAAATAAATGTCAAATGGAATGGTACTGATAGAATTCACTCAGATATCAGTTTCAAATAATATGAATTCCAAACTTACTGTATAGGTTCGAACATTTGTGGGAATAGTGCATTTATTAAAAACAATTCTAGTAAATATGATCTTTATTTGGCATTGGAATGACAACTAGCTGTTGTCTGTATAGTAAACCAACTCTTATAATAAGGCAAATATCAAATCACACCGTAACCTCTCCATCACCTCTTTCAATATCTCCAGAATAAGAAAAGGACCCAGAGGGCTACTCGCTGATTTTAGTAGAGCTTACATCACCCACCATCTAATTTGAGTCATTTTGCGTATGGTAAAGCCCCAGATGAGATTCTTTGTCATAGGCAATGACCCCTTCCCATAAACACGCTCAATTCATTTGACTTGACAGAGTCCTGCATAATGTGAAACAATATTCTGCCACAGGACTCATTAGAAAGGACCATAAAAACACAGAAATACACCTGCACCACTGAGAGCTCCATATGTACAGCATCACTAATGCAGCGGCTGTTTTCTAAAAAAACAAAACAAAAAAAAACCTCAGTTGCTATTCAATAATGAAATACTGTTGGATGATGTGATCAACACACTAAGTTAATGTATACAATGTATTGAATTGCATTTGTAAAACTGCACATGCATAAAAGGCAAATGGGTCAACCAAAGAAATGTCTGGGCTATATTACACTACAAAATCAATCAATCAATCAATAAATAGATTATTTTGCAGTAACAGTATTTTTATAATTATTTTTAAATTATTTTCAACATTATGTTCAACTGTCTTTGCTGTAAAGTAAAATAAAAAAAAATTCTTTATTTATTTATTTTGAATTTGTGATGATATGATCCAGACATTTCTTGATGTTTTCTGTGAGATTCACCCAAATTGCTAATCATGGCTCAACTAGTAATCTATATATACACTATTAGAACGTGTTTACACTTGGCAGGTTTGGTTTGATTAAAACCAACTGCTGTTCATTTGAATAAGTGTGAACACTGCCGTCCTTGTTGTGCACCAAACAAGTGAACTGAGAACCCATGAAGAGGTTAATCTCGGTCCGTTTCCAAACTCTGGTGCGGTTTGACTGAAATATGAACACCGCTCATAAAAGCTGTCCAATAAGGTTGTGACTGTATCCTTATGCCTTTTGCTTTGTATCTTTGGTTACAGTATTAAAAATGACTAAATGTATTATTTACTTTTTGATCCAGACCAAGAGAACTGAACTACAAATGTAAAACACCCTTAAAAATATAGCTTCCAAAAGGGTGTTCTTCACAGCAATGTCATAGAAGAGCC